CCATTTTGTCTTTTTTCTCTTTGTACATACAGGGAATTTTTGTGGATGCGTTGCACGTGTCGTGGGAATTAAGTACAACATAGAAGAATAGAACTAAAAAGTCGTGTTCAATAAATAACAGGTGAAACAAATATTTGTACTCATCGAATAAAAATATATACGATCATTCATTCAACAAAAATTCCGGTAACGGGACAAACGCCATTCGCACACCGAGTTCCGTTTGCAATGGATAAATCAGGGAACGGCAAACATGCAATCATTTCAAGAACGCAAAAAAATTCGAAATTTCTGGATCTACGTTCGAAATGAAAAAAAAAAAAACACAACGTCATCTTCGAGCTTAACATATCGATTTGCACGATCGGAGATGCTGAAATTCGATCACGTTTCCACATAATACGTAAATTCTATCGTTGTCCAACGAAACAGAGAAACATTAGGAACTTTTTAAGAAACGTCGGCGCACTGAAACTTAAATGTACAATTGAATCGATCGTCTTTAGAACAACTCTTTCGATCTTCGTCTTCACGATTCCACTGTAATTTTCTGTTAAATCAGCTCTCGTAAATGTTTACAACAAAATTACTGTTAAAAACACAGAGGAGGAAGATTATTTACAAAACAGTTCTCGAAACAGGTTGCTCTCAAAACCGACCGATTGCATTTCACTCGTCAACGAAAGAAAAAAGAAAAATAAATAAACAAATAAAAACGAAGAATAAAGAAACAACAAATCGGGATTGAAAACTGAAACCAAAAGAGTAGAGAGGTTGGTGGTGGTGGTAGTGATGGTTGGTACATGGTATCATTTCCAAATTTCCAGAGAGGGAAATAATGTATTTTTGAGTAGAGGTATGTACAGGGTGATCCGTTTAACCCGACGACTGTTATAAAATTGAAAAGAAAAAAAAAACAAATTATTCAATCGTACGTACTCTCTTTAAAATTATACAACTTTCGTTTCACGTACTTTTTCGTACAACGTATTAGTTTACGAGAAAATTAAGTCGAGTTAAGCGAATGACCCGGTACACGTATGGTATATATGGTGTGGGTGTCAATGAATCGAGTCGCTGACGCTGAATATATTGAGTAGTATATGTTTTAATGATGTGACTCCATTAATATGTCAATATGCACAGGTAAATATTTCTTGTTATTATATAATAGAAGTGTTACAGTGTGTAATGTGATACGATAATAAATTTAATAGTAACCATATTATAATTAAGAACTTAAAATAACTCTAAAGGGTAAACTACATCACTATCGGCTAGCGACTATTTAGCGATAATAATAGCCTACCATGTCTTTTACTAGCGGCGCTCAGTGAGTGTGCTCTTTTTTTTCCTTTTTCCTTTTAATATTCCTTTCACTCGTTCTCTCTCTCTCTCTCTCTCTCTCTCTCTTACCTCAATTTCTCACTAAATCTTTCTCTCTCTCCCTTTCTCTCCCTCTCTCGCATTCTCACTCTCTCTCTCTCTCTCTCTCTTTCTCTCTCTTTTTCTACGTGTAATTATTATTCCACTGTGCTCGATGTTCCTTTCGTAACCCATGTTGTTTTCTCTCCCTATGTATATATATATTTTTGTCGTTTCCTGTAAACTTGTCATTCGTTTTCACTGCCTTTTTATCGTGTCCCTTGCAACCTGTCGCTTCTACAAACATCAACCGATTCACACCGGGCTGCTTTTCACGTCTCTGTCCACCGCTCTTTGCACCTTCTTTTCGCACTGCTACGAAACGCGTTTCCCTCGTGCGTTTCCGGTTCCACCGTTGAAACGCTCTCCGATCTCCGTCGACGAACTTCGAAGAAGGGCAGGGAATCCCTCGCGTGCGATTCTTCTTCTCGCGCACGAGAGAAAAAATCGTACGCGAGATATTCGCGAAGCGAAACTCTTCTAAAAATTTCCTCGTCTTTTTTCGTTCTCTTTTCAACGACGTTCGACGAAGAGTAAAGA